GTACCCAAGTAGGGGAACGCTACGGAAGCCACATCCTGCGTATAGGAGGTATCATGTGGAATTACACATATGGACTGGCCCAGGGCAGTGCTACATATGGAAGTCCCTGCGGGAGACTCAACCCGCCTGGGGTGAGATGACTACACAGCAGAGATGGCAGAGAACGACTGCCAGGGAAAGACCCGGGCTTACCGTGAGGGGAGCCGTACCGTGGAAGAATACACATGTGGGATCACCCGAAGGGGGAATCACTACACACGGGCACCTAGCCCAGCACAAGGGCTGACCTTGGGCATGCACACGAGTGCTCGACCTGGCGTCTGCGGGAATGGCGCAGCAAGCGTGATCGACACCGAGCAGGTCCGGTGTTACTGCCTACCTGAGGCGAGTACACGAGAGGACACGGGCTCTACACGGAGATTATAGAATCTCGCAAACGTGTTAGGCGTCGCCCAGCTGGCAGCTCTACAGATGTCTGCTATCGAGGCGCCCCGCGCCAATGCCCAAGAAGATGCCACTCCTCTCGTAGAGTGAGCTCTCACTCCGAGGGGGCATGGTAAACATTGGGCCTGGTATGCTAAGACTATAGCCTCCACTAACCAGTGGGCAAGTCTTTGTTTGGAGACAGCCTTTCCCTTCTGCTGTACACCGAAGCAGACAAAGAGCTGGTCTGAGGTCCTGAAGCTCTGCGTACGGTCCATGTAAGTGCGCAAAGCGCGAACGGGACAGAGCAGAGCAATGGCTGGGTCTGCCTCCTCCCGGGGCAGCGCTTGTAAGTTCACCACCTGATCCTTGAAAGGCGTGGTGGGAACTTTGGGCACATAATTGATACCAGCATGGCGCCGCAAATGGCAGCAAGGACGCTGAGCTCCGCGAGTCTTCTATTGTTTTTGTTTGTTTGTTCTGTGTTTTGTCACTCTTCTTCTATAAGTTTTACCAGAGACGAACTCCTTAACAATGCGGTGAGGAGCACTGTCTTCAACGACAGAAACTTAAGTTCTACTGACTGCAGAGGCTCGAAGGGCTCCTCCTTCAAGGCCGTCAGGACCGAGGGGAGATCCCAAGAGGGTAACAGGTGAGGGCGCGGAGGATTTAGCCTCCTTGCCCCTCTGAGAAACCTGACGACCAAGTCGTGCTTCCCCACAGACTTACCGTCTACTGCCTCGTGATGTGCGGCAATGGCGGCAACATACACCTTAAGGGTGGAGGGAGACAGCCTTCGCTCCATCCCATCTTGAAGGAAAGAGAGCACGACACTGATCAGGCATCTACGGGGGTCTTCCTGGCGGGAAGAGCACCAATAGACGAACAGGTTCCACTTCAGCCTGTAAGCATGTCTTGTAGACGGGGCTCTAGCTGAAGTGATGGTGTTTACTACTGCTGGAGGTAGCCCACCTAGAACCTCCGCGTCCTGTCCAGGGACCACAAGTGGAGATTCCACAAGTCTGGACGCGGGTGCCAGAGGGTGCCCCCTCTCTGAGAAAGGAGATCCCTCCTCAGAGGAATTCGCCAAGGAGGGGCTGTCGCGAGGAGCATCAGTTCGGGGAACCAAGTCCGACTGGGCCAGTATGGCGCTACCAAGAGGACCTGCTCCTCGTCCTCCCTGACCTTGCACAGTGTCTGTGCGAGAAGGCTCACTGGGGGAAACGCATATTTGCGTAGGCCCCGAGGCCAGCTGCACGCCAGTGCGTCCGTGCCGAGGGTTCCCTCGGCCAGGGAGTAAAACAACTGGCAATGGGACGTGTCCGGGGAGGCAAACAGGTCTACCTGAACGTCCCCAAAGCGTCTCCAAATCAGCTGGACTGTCTCGACTGATGTACGCAACGGTCGCAGTGTTGTCCGTACGGACCAGTACATGCTTGTCGTGCAGCAGCGATTTGAAGCGGCGCAGAGCAAGCCATACTGCTTGCAACTATCCAGGTCGGGGTCTCAGGACAACGTGAGAGTTACCCGTTCCGAATTCTAGGCACGAATCGTCGACCGAGAATGCCTGCAGGTCCCCTACCCTCTTGACCGAGGCCAATGCGGTGAGGAGCACTGTCTTCAACGACAGAAACTTAAGTTCTACTGACTGCAGAGGCTCGAAGGGCTCCTCCTTCAAGGCCGTCAGGACCGAGGGGAGATCCCAAGAGGGTAACAGGTGAGGGCGCAGTGGATTTAACCTCCTTGCCCCTCTGAGAAACCTGATGACCAAGTCGTGCTTCCCCAAAGACTTACCGTCTACTGCCTCGTGATGCGCGGCAATGGCGGCAACATACACTTTAATGGTGGAGGGAGACAGCCTTCGCTCCAACCCATCCTGCAGGAAAGAAAGCACGACTCCGATCGGGCATCTACGGGGGTCTTCCCGGGGGGAGGAGCACCAATCGACGAACAGGTTCCCCTTCAGCCTGTAAGCGTGTCTAGTAGACGGGGCTCTGGCTGAAGTGATGGTGTTTACTACCGCTGGAGGTAGCCCACCTAGAACCTCCGCGTCCCGTCCAGGGACCACAAGTGGAGATTCCACAAGTCTGGACGCGGGTGCCAGAGGGTGCCCCCTCTCTGAGAAAGGAGATCCCTCCTCAGAGGAATTTGCCAAGGAGGGGCTGTCGCGAGGAGCATCAGTTCGGGGAACCAAGTCCGAGTGGGCCAATATGGCGCTACCAAGAGGACCTGCTCCTCGTCCTCCCTGACCTTGCACAGTGTCTGTGTGAGAAGGCTCACTGGGGGAAATGCATATTTGCGTAGGCCCCGAGGCCAGCTGTATGCCAGTGCGTCCGTGCCGAGGGTCCCCTCGGAGAGGGAGTAAAACAACTGGCAATGGGACATGTCCAGGGAGGCAAACAGGTCTACCTGAGCATCCCCAAAGCGTCTCCAAATCAGCTGGACTATCTCGGGGTGGAGTCGCCATTCTCCCGGAAGGGCGGGCTGACGTGAGAGCTCGTCGGCTGCACGATTGAGCTCGCCTGGGACATGAACGGCGCAAAGCGACCTCAGATGCTTCTGACTCCAGAGGAGGAGATGGCGGGCGAGTTGCGACATGCGACGGGAGCGTAGACCGCCCTGGTGGTTGATGTACGCAACGGTCGCAGTGCTGTCCGTACGGACCAGTACGTGCTTGTCGTGTAGCAGCGATTTGAAGCGGCGCAGAGCCAGCCATACTGCTTGCAACTCGAGGCAGTTGATATGCCACTGCAGTCGGGGCCCCGACCAGAGCCCCGCAGCTGCATTCCCATTGCACATGGCACCCCAGCCCCTGGCAGAGGCATCTGTTGACACAACAACATGCCTGGATACTTGCCCAAGGGACACCCCTGTCCGAAGAAAGGCAAGATCTGCCCACGGGCTGAAGGTCTGACGGCAGGACGGGGTGACTGAAACCCGGTATGTGCCGTGTCGCCATGCCCATCTCGGGACCCGGTCGTGAAGCCAACGCTGAAGCGGTCTCATATGAAGCAACCCGAGCGGCGTGACAGCGGCTGCAGATGCCATATGCCCCAGGAGCCTCTGAAATTGTTTCAGTGGAACCGCCGTCTTGCACTGGAAGGACCCCAGGCAGTTCAGCATCGACTGCGCACGCTCTACTGAGAGACGTGCTGAGAGGTTGACCGAGTCCAGCTCCATGCCGAGAAAAGAGATCCTCTGCACCGGGGAGAGTTTGCTCTTTTCCCAGTTGACCCGAAGCCCCAATCGGCTGAGGTGACTGAGCACCATATCCCTGTGTTCGCACAACTGCGCTCGGGACTGGGCCAATATGAGCCAGTCGTCGAGATAGTTGAGAATGCGAATGCCCGCCTCCCTCAATGGAACGAGGGCTGCCTCCACGACCTTGGTGAAGACACGAGGCGACAGGGATAGCCCGAAGGGGAGGACCTTGTACTGATATGCTCGCCCTTCGAACGCAAAGCGGAGAAACGGTCTGTGACGAGGGAGAATCGAGACATGAAAGTACGCGTCCTTGAGGTCGATCGCTGCGAACCAATCGAAAGGACGGACGCATTGAAAGATGCGTTTCTGCGTCAACATCCTGAACGGGAGCTTGTGAAGGGCCCGGTTCAGTACGCGCAGGTCCAGGATCGGTCGTAACCCACCGTCTTTCTTGGGTACGATGAAGTACGGGCTGTAGAAACCCGACCTCATCTCGGCTGGAGGGACCGGCTGTATCGCGTCCTTCACCAGCAGGACCGCGATCTCTGCACGCAAGACAGGAGCATCCTTGTCCAGCACAGAGGTGAACCGAATGCCCCTGAACTTGGGAGGGCGCAGGGCGAACTGAATCGCGTAGCCGAGTCTGATGGTTCTCATGAGCCAGCGAGACGGCCTGGGGAGCGCTAACCAGGCCCCCAGCAACCGAACTAGCGGGACCAGGGAAACCACCGACGTACCCGCAGTGGGGCAGCGAAGTGGAACACAGGGACCCAACCCGGGAGGCCGTGCGTCCGAGGGTGGGGTCTGAGTGCGCGGCGCACCACTTACCTGGCTCCATAGCTGGGCAGGGGGCTCGTGAGGAGGCACAGCGTCCCCGAACCGGACCCTGCTGCCCATCGGCGAAAGGAGAGGGGGACGGCCGTGTGGAGACAGGGTCTCGTGCACCGCCATCCTCGCCCTCTTGGGACCCGGAGGCAAAGGAAACTGCTCTTTTATTGAAGTTTTGGGTACCACTGGCTGGGTAGCCAGTGGCGGAACAAAAACAAACGGAAACATAAGATTCTCCACCCGGCCCTCCTCCGGGGGAAGGAGTGGTGCAGTCACCATCTCCTGAAGAGCAGGATCCAAGAGCTCCGGGTCGCCCGTCTCAGGGACGCCGCCTGCTCTGGCGCTTCACAGGCTTGGCAGGGGCGGAGGCGGGCAGCGCCGGTTTCCTGCGGCCAGCTCCACGCTGCGGCCGTTGTGAAGGCTGCTGTTGTGGCCGCGCCGGAGCGGAGGTGGAGGCCGCAGGAGGGCGCCCTCGGCGACGAGCAGACAGAGGGGCTGCAGCCGGCGGTGGGGTGCAGACAGCAGCAGACCGCCGGGGCAGGATGTGTCGAAACGCCTCCGTCTGCTTCTGCGCGGAGGAGAACTGTTGGGCAAAGCCCTCCACCGCTTCGCCGAATAGGCCGGCCTGGGAGATCGAGGAGTCCAGGAAGCGATGCTTGTTGGCCTCCCTCATATCCGCCAAGGTCAGCCATAGGTGGCGCTCCTGGACCACCAATGTGGACATCGTCTGACCCAGGGCCCGCGCCGTGACTTTCGTCGCCCTAAGCGCGAGGTCCGTCGCCGTGCGCAGTTCCTGCAGCACACCTGGGTCAGCACCACCCTCGTGCAGCTGCTTCAACGCCTTGGCCTGGTGGACTTGCAGGAGGGCCATGGCGTGCAGGGCGGAAGCGGCCTGTCCAGCAGCACTGTAAGCCTTAGCCGTCAGTGCCGAAACGCCTCCGTCTGCTTCTGTGCGGCGGAGAACTGTTGGGCAAAGCCCTCTACCGCTTCGCTGAATAGGCCGGCCTGGGAGATCGGGGAGTCCAGGAAGCGATGCTTGCCGGCCTCCCTCATATCCGCCAAGGTCAGCCAAAGGTGGCGCTCCTGGACCACCAATGTCACGCTGTGCCTTTCGTCGGCCCGCGCCGTGACTTTCGTCGCCCTAAGCGCGAGGTCCGTCGCCGTGCGCAGTTCCTGCAGCACACCTGGGTCAGCACCACCCTCGTGCAGCTGCTTCAACGCCTTGGCCTGGTGGACTTGCAGGAGGGCCATGGCGTGCAGGGCGGAAGCGGCCTGTCCAGCAGCACTGTAAGCCTTAGCCGTCAGAGCGGACGAGAACTTACAGGCCCTGGACGGAAGGCGTGGACTACCTCTCCAGGCGGCAGCGCTTTGCGGGCAGAGCTGCATGGCAATAGCGCGCTCAACCGGAGGGATGTCCCAAGAACAGCTGTTACTTCTTGCCCAACTGGTTAATGAAAACAAGGATATAATCAAAGGAAAATTTAGAGTTGGGATAACCTCCAAAACCAAAGGCGATAACTTTTTAAAAGGACATAATCATAAAATGTTTCTAAAATATTTACATTCAGAGGCAGATTGCAGGCAACAGCCATTTTAGGATAGTTTGTGGTTTGATCTTAGTGACTTAGGAGTCCTCTTCACTACTCCTAACCATTCACAGATTTAGGAGCTAGTTTAAGAGCTAAAACGCTTTGTGAAATACTTTTAGAGCAAAAATTTAGGAGTCCTAAATTTAGGATTGACACGCCCATTATTTTTACGATTTTCTCCTAAATCGGCGAGTTATGAGCTACTTTTAGCCTTAAGATGTTTTGTGAATATGGGCCCTGTTCTCTACAGTATTACTGTTAGCATTGAATTAACAGTACTAAAACTATAGAATGACTCAAATTTTTAACTTACAACTGGTTTTGCTTACCACAAACTTCCAGTTATTGCTATGTACATTTACAAATCCCACTGCACCATCATAATTTCAAAGTTTTCCTGTAAAGCAATTTAAACGTTTACATTGAATAATATACAAGCTGTTATACATTTGCAGATTTACAGGCTGTAGTAACATATGTAATGTGCAGAGTAGTCTTATCATTACTACAAACACTTCACCCTAAACAAACATAATGCTAACCGTAATCCCACTAGTGGACAACATAATAAATTATAACAATTCATTCAGAATGTTTTTAGTGTAATGCTAGACCTGTGAGTCTCTACTTCAATATGATCTGTTGAAACCGAAATTGTATGGGTCATGTTCTAGGCTGCTGAATTTTATTTACTTTCCTCAAGCTTTGGCGTGTAATTAGCTGTTTTCCTCCGAACAGGATTACCCCTATCATGTAGTGGTTTAGTATGTACATTTTCTTTGTGCTTGCACTTTTATTCATAGAGGCATGAATATAGTACTCCATTGTCTGAAAAATATTAAACAGTTTGATTTTTGTAGGTCCAGTAGTGAAATTCTGTTCATTTGAAAATCATTCATCATTCAAGTACAGAAAAGTTGTACTAACTGTTATGTCCTGTGTTAATGTTCATAGATTGAAATACTGGGCCAGTCCACTAGAGGCTGCAAGAGTTAAAGTTTTGTTGTTGAGAAGGAGCGAGGAGAAAGCAGAATAAAGAAGTGTTGGTAATGTTGTGAACTAGTCATTCTTTCTCCTTTTAATTTCTTTCATTACGAGTTCCAAACATTACAAAATCTGGCGACGATGTCTGCATCTGTACCCATGCCTGCATTTTTTCTTCCGACGGTCGGAGAGCCTGCTATTCCGTTTTCTACATGGAAGAAAATTTTCCAAAATGACTTGCTTGTCATCGGGTGGACGTTTTTGTCCAACTAGTTAATGAAAACAAGGATATAATCAAAGGAAAATTTAGAGTTGGGATAACCTCCAAAACCAAAGGCGATAACTTTTTAAAAGGACATAATCATAAAATGTTTCTAAAATATTTACATTCAGAGGCAGATTGCAGCTCATTATCGTCAAATGTTTCTAAAATGTTTATATTCCGAGGTAGATTGCTGGCAACAGCCATTTTAGGATAGTTCAGATTTGGTCTTGTTGACTTAGGAGTCCTCTTCACTACTCCTAACCATTCACAGATTTAGGAGCTAGTTTAAGAGCTAAAACGCTTTGTGAAATACTTTTAGAGCAAAAATTTAGGAGTCCTAAATTTAGGATTGACACGCCCATTATTTTTAAGATTTTCTCCTAAATCGGCGAGTTATGAGCTACTTTTAGCCTTAAGACGTTTTCTACATGGAAGAACATTTTCCAAAATTACTTGCTTGTCATCGGAGCACGAGGTGATGCATGGCCTGATGCCAGAGTTCGTGCAGTTTTGTTACATTGTCTCGGTACGGAAGGCCAGAGACTTTTCTATACGCTGCCAAACGGGGGTACAACTTATGATGAGGCCATGGTGGCTATTGATGCTCATTTTACGCCAAAAGTGAATGTTGTTGCTGCACGGCATAAATTCAGACAGCGCGCACAGCGCTCGGACGAAACCGCAAGTCAGTATATCGCGGAGTTACGTCATCTAGCAGTGGATTGTCAGTTCGGACAAATGGAGGATGAAATGCTACGGGACCAACTAATTGAACGGGCTTTCCTGGCCGCGGTGAGAGATAGACTGTTACTCGAGTCGGAACTTACATTGGATCGCGCTTCTGCATTAGCGTTTCAAGTGGAATCGGCCGTACAAAATGCTACACTCCTTTCAACTAATGGTTCAACTTCTGCTCAAGTTCAAGCCATCTCAAGGACAAAGTCCAGTTTCAAACGAGGTAAACAAAAGAGTGAGAAAATGCCATTACAAAATGGAAAGCCACAGACTTCAAATAAAAGACGCTGTGGATCAAATACTCACTTGGCCAACGCACACAATTGTCCTGCTGCGTCAGCCACATGTCATCACTGTGGAAAGAAAGGACATTTCGCAAAGGTATGTAAATCGGCAGTTGTCAAAGAAGTGAAAGAAGTTATGGTGCCTGAACTGACTGTGCTGCTCGTAAATCAGTCTCCTGACAAAATTCGATGCCAAGTAGAATTGGAAGCACCACAAGGAAATAAAATACCAGTTGAATTGATTGTTGATACAGGATCAAGTGTGTCCATCCTGCCTGAGACACTGTTCATGAAACACTTTGCAAATTGTGAACCAAAGGAACCTCAAGTGAGGCTAGTCACTTACTCACGTGAACACTTGCCAACCTTAGGCTGTTTCACTGTTTCTGTGTCACATGATGGTGTTGCAACCACTGCCAATTTCTATGTGGTCAAAACGGGATCACCACTTTTGGGCATGGATTTGATTAAAGCCTTAAACTGTCACATTGTGGGAGATAGAATTGTTACTTCATCAGCTCCTGCTGCTTCACCTGTGTTAGAAATATGTAATGCAGCAGCTCAACTCAGGCTTTGTGCACAAAGTACAGATTGATCAGTCTGTTAAACCAGTGCAGCACAAACTACGTAGATTACCGCTGAGTGTACGGGAGGAGGTTTCCAAGGAAATTCATCGCTTACTGAGGGATGGAATAATTGAAAAGATCGATGCTTCGCCATGGGTGTCACCAATCGTCGTAACCAGAAAGAAGTCTGGAGAAATTCGGGTTTGCGTGGATTTGAGAGAGCCTAATCGGGCTGTAATTACTGACTGCTACCCATTACCTCATATGGAGGATCTTTTCACCGAACTCAGAGGCGCTACTGTGTTCTCCCAAATTGATCTGCAAAGTGCATACCACCAACTACCTTTGCATGAGGAGAGTCAAAACTTGACTGCATTCATCACACACGATGGATTGTTCAAATTCACAAAGGTTCCTTTCGGATTGGCTTCGGCGCCCTCCGCCTTTCAAAAAATGATGAAAACAGTTCTTGAGGGTCTACCAGGAGTACAGAACTACTTAGATGATCTCATCGTGTACAGCCAAGATAAAGCTACCCATGACGCCAATCTACAAGCAGTGCTGACTAAACTCACAAATATTGGTCTGACACTTAACAGGGAGAAGAGCAAATTCGGCCACAGCAGAATTCGATATCTAGGCCATGACATTTCAAAAGATGGACTACATCCTAACCCCGACTCAGTTGACGCCATTGCAAATGCCCCTGCACCAACAGACCTACCCTCATTACGGTCTTCTTTGGGTCTTACATCTTGGTTTAGCAAGTTCATCCCGAACTATGCAATGGTAGTAGACCCCCTGCGTGAGATACTCAGATCATCTCAGAATGGATTTACATGGACGGAGGCAGCAGATGTGAGTTTTCGTGGGCTAAAGCAGCTGTTAGTCCACAGCCCAGCCTTGGCTTTATTCGACCCCTCCTTACCAACATTCGGGTCCACCGATGCTTCAGATTATGGCATTGGAGGTGTCATCACTCAACTGCACCCGGATCAGACAGAGCGTCCAA